GAGCTAACATCTGAAATGAAATCCACTATACAAGAGTGACTGACAGATAGTACCATCTCAGACTTTCTCAGGGTTTATGTAACGCTATGGAAAACTTACCCACCAAACTGAAAACTTGAAGAGCTTAATTTTGCAACCCAGTAACTTCTAACACTTTAATAATCAAATATACCTGCTACTACAGTTACAAACAAAAATGTGGTTTTTATCTGCATAAATAACACTAAGCTGTAACTAAATTCATAGAGTACTTTCTCCTCACCCAAATTATTCAATCCCAGTGTAATCTCTTCTGACTAGTATTTTCTCAAACCAGTAATTATGCAGAGGAAGCCAATGTTTCCTGATATATGATCACACTGAATAAAGCTGATTTCTGTCAAGGAACCAGAAGATGCAAGGTATTTTTTTAAAGTAAGCAAAGTATTGAGGAACTAGTTGCCAATGGGGGCAAAAAGCCACATAGTACTTTATTGAGTTTCTTTGGAAGCTTTTAATACGGTAAATCTGCTTAACATATGTTATCTCCTTAAGCAATATGTTACAGTATGAGAAAATATAGACGTCTTTAATAACTTTATTGAAACTGGATGCTTCTGACATGAAATGTAATTCTGGCAAATTAAGTCTGGAAGTAGCTACTGAGTTGGTTTTGTTTACTTATTCTCAGCCTCCTACCACAAAGAGCTTGACACAAACTTGTAACTGAAGGTACAGCATTGTGCAAAATAAATCACATTAACTTTTAAAAAGAATCGTTCAATAAATAAGGCATAAAAACCACATCACCAAAACTGGAGAATACTGAAAATAAAATGTTTACAACAAAAAGCAAGAATGTATTCTCTAAGTCACAAATAATTTTTTAAATCTGGGAACTATCCTGAAAAAACATACTAGCATTGTAATAAAAGGGATTTGAACACCTTAAAAAGTAACAAACTGAAGCAACAAGAAGGATCTCTAAATAAATTGAAATCTTTACTTAAAAAGGGGAAGGTTCCTTTACTGGAAAAATATCCTGCATTTTTCCCATCCTTAAGAAAGCATGTTTTAAACTATACTTATAAATTCATTTCCTTATTATCAGACACTAAAGTCCACTTTTTATTTGTTACAGTCTCCTCTGTCGCCCAGGCTAGAGCACAGTGGACCAATCACAGGCTCACTGCGACCTCCACCTCCCAGGTTCAAGTGATTCTCTTGCCTCAGCCTCCTGAGTAGCTAAGACTACAGGTGTCTGCCACCCCAAGCCTAGCTAACTTTTGTATTTTTAGTAGAGACAAGTTTTCGCCTGTTGGCCAGGCTGGTCTTAAACTCCTGACCTCAAGTGATCTGCCCACCTCGGCCTCCCAAGTGCTGAGATTACAGGCATGAGCCACCATGCCTGGCCTTAGATTCCACTTTTTAGATACTCACATCAACATCTTATTTCTACAGTAACTTGTTTAAAGGGAAAGGACAAAAAACTGATAGTAGTAAAGTATTTTAATGACATAACCACACAGTAATTTCAAGCTAGAAATACTACTGCTGCCTGTTTTATATACAGCTACTGTGAAAGACATATGTCAAAGTTTCAACAAGAAAGTTACTCACCACCATCCCTCTCTCTAACTCTGTGAGTATGCACATTTTTGGCCTTACTGTGACCTGTGCTGTCGCTGTATTTGTTTTCAGGACTATCAGATCTCCGCAACATTTTATTTGGTGGTGAAGGATCTGCGGCGTCTCGCATCTTTTCATGTCTGTGATCACCACTACTGGGGTGACTCTTTGATGAATACTTAAGTGCCTGTAAAACATCACCCCCCCAAAAACAGACAGAAAGAATTGAAACCTTAAACTTAACTCCAGAAACTAATTTAAACATAAATTTTGGTGTATTAATGTCATTAAATTTTATGAACTTAAATTTCCACTTTGACTTCTGCTCTATTCTTCAAAGTTTCTCAGACAAAACCTAATGCTTAAGTGTTACAGTAACACTCCTGGTACAAATCGTAATACTAAATGTAAAAAAAAAAAAAAAAAAAAGAATCATTCCATTATCTTGTAACTAAATCAAACCACCTTGGCACACTGATTCTGAAAAAAAAAAAAAATCTGGGAATATTTAAAATCACTTTTTGAAAGTTTAGTCAGAGGAAAACTAGAAATTCAGTACTACTGCAATCAATTTCTGCTCTACAACTGATATGCACAAACACATGAACAAGCACACGTATATTTCTGCAAACCTACAAAGAAAAAAAACCCCACACACCAGGTTCTCCAATTCTATGATTCAAATAAAGCATTTCAGACCTAACTTCCTTACTCTTACAGGTGTGGGAAACAATTTTAACGTATAAAAATACTGACCAATACACTAACGTGAGTACTATTTCTAAACAAACAAAATGCACTCAAAATAATGGTTTAGTTTTATTCCAACGTATCTTAAAACAACCATGATGTACTAGTCTGTTGCAATATGTAATTAGTTATGCTTTGGAGGGCAGATTCAGTAAGGTTTAATTTTTGACATATCCAGTGTTTTACACATCAGAGAACAGTGTTTTCAAATTCAGCTGTATAACACAGGAATCAGGTTAGAAACCTGCACTCTGATTCTTTAAAATGTAGAAAGGATTTCTGTAGTCATCTGACGGTTAACAATCATTTATAATGTTTCCCTCCTGAAAACTGGGGCCACTTGCATCATAATCCTTAGAACTTTACAGGCAACGACTGCAGTAACAAAAAGGAACCCACCTACCTAGAACCACCTACATCAGAACGAATTATCCAAGTACCGAAAAATCTCAATTCTTACAGAAACGAAAGCACACATCTTTTACTTGTACGGCAATTAAGCATACCAAAAATATTAAAAGGGGAAGATAGTACTTTTTAACCGACTTAAAAGTTGTAAGTCATTTAGCTATTTATCCCAGGTCCTTCACTTAATTTTAATGCCTTTGCATTAACTTCCAGTTCCCCAATACAATAAATAAATAATTAAGCCTCGGAAGTCACCTATCATCTCATCCCATCGATTCCTTCACCCGCAAATAATCGAGTCAGGTCTTCCTGGCTGCAAATGATTTTTTTTTTCCCCCCTAAATCAGCAAACTTCCTCCAGTCACCTGTCAAAATAAGTCACTAAACCTCACTGGAGAGGGCCAAAGGCACCAAACCCCGAATTTTAAGGGGACCCGCGGTGCTGGTTTCGGATGTGTTACACCGAAGGGCCTGCAGCGACTTCTGAGGCCTGCGCTCGAGTAGCAGTCCCTCCCTTCCCCCTTCGGCCCCTTCCAAACCCTCCACCCGGCCTCGGCTGGTACCTGGTAAGGCTGCGAGTCCCCCCTCCGGTCGTGACAGCTGAAAAACAGGAAGAGAAAGCAGAGACATAAGACAAGGCGTGGGTGGGGGGCCAGGGAGGAAGAAAATGGGTCCCCCACCGCCCCTCCCCGCGGGAGACCTACCCAGCGCCCCGGCGCCGAGCCCGGCGCGCACAAGGCGCAAACCCGGAGCCTCCGGGAGGGCCGGGGAGGGCGAAACGCCGCGCAGCCGGGCCCCCGCTCCCCGCCACACTCCGTCCCCGCCAGCCCGCCCGCGCGGCCGCTCCTCCTCCCCAACCCGATCCGGATCAGGGTTAACAACAAAAATGGCGGCCCGGCCAGCTCCAGATAAGGAGGAACAGCCCCCCCCGCCGCCGCCGCCGCCGCCGCCCCCCGCCGCCGCCCGGCCCGAAACGAAAAGACAATTTACCCATCACTGAGTCTCTGCTGTTTCCTCGCATACATTACCATCAATGCCCGGCCTGTGAGTGTGTGTCGGGGAGGGGGGAGAGCGGCCGCGGGAGGCGGGCGGGCAGGCGGGCGGGCGGCGGCGGCGGCGGGCGGCGGGCAGCCCCGGCACCTGGGCCCGGCGCGCCCTCGGCGACTCTCAGCACCTCCCAGTTACTGGCGCCGGCGCTCCCGGGCCATCTCCCTCCGTCGACACCACGCTCACTCTCAGCCCGGGCAGCGGCGCCAACTACACGGCGGCAGCGCGAACCGGGGGGAGGGGGGCAAGACGATGCGTCCGGCTCAGCCCCGCGGAGAGCGACTGCCTCCTTCGCCTTCTCCTCCTCCTGCTCCGCCGCCTCCTCCCCTCCTCCCCCCGCCGCCGCCGCCGCTGCTGCCGCCGCCTGGTCCTTCTCCTCCTCCTCCTCCACCTCCTCCCGCCGCCGCTGGTGCCGCCGCTGCCGCTCCACCAACTACATCCGGGCAACTCGGACGCTGCCGCCTTCGGGAAACCTCGGCAGTTTCCGCCGCTCCCCTCCTCTCCCACCCTCGGCCTTCCTCCCCGCCCCGCGCGGGTCCGGAACGCCGCCCTCGGCAAACCTCGGTTGGCCCGGGCCTCTTTCCTCCTCTGAGGCCTGGCTCTCCTCCTCGCGACCTGTCAGTCCTTGACTTCTCTTCTTCACACGCGAGTCCGGCCACCGCCGTTTCCGTTTAGGGAGAGTCTCGCTCGGGCGCCCGCTCGAGGCTGGTCCCTGGGGCTCCGGGCTGCGCGGGGAGGGAGCCGCCTTCCGGAAGAGGACGGTGGGGCGCGAGCGAAGCCATCGCGGACTTAATAAGGGAGGCTGCGGCGGCTGCGCGTGCGCCCAGAGGCGCCGCGGGAGGGGTCCGTCGGGCGAGCTCTCCGGCCGCGGCCCCCGCCCCTGTGGGCTCGGGAGGAGAAGTGGGAAAGCCCCTGGCGAGACCACGGGCGGACGCTTTCCGTGAGCCGCCGCGTCTGCAGTCGCGGAAGCCACGCTCTGGGTAGCAGGGAGTGTGCTCCGGCGCCCTCGGGCCGCTGCTGGAGGCCGGAACGGAGCCCGGGCCGCGGCCCCTCACCGGACGCCTCGGGCGCACGGGCCCTCCGCGGGGCAGGGGCTGCAGCGAGCTGGCCGGGCGCCCTGTAGACGTAAGTCTCACCCTGCGCCCCGAAGCGGGAAGGAGCGCACACTGGCCCGGCGAGAAACGGCGGAGAGGAGGAGCCGAGGGGTGCTGTGCCCGAGGCGGAGACGCCTGCACCGAGCGGGGAGCGCCGTTCGGGGCAGGCGATGAACGCGGTGCTGGATAGTGGAGATTTCGGGAGGTGGGTTCCTTGGGAACAGCGCTGCACGTCTGACTGCCCCACCTCCCCTCCCTTGTTTTGAGACAGGGTCTCGCTCTGTCGTCCAGGCTGAGTGCAGTGGCGCGATCACAGCTCACTGCAGCCTCGACCTCCCGGCTCAACGGATCCTCCCACCTCAGCCTCCTGAATAGCTGGGACCACCGGCATATACCACCACGCCCGGCTAATTTTTTTAAAAAAGTGTTTCTGGAGACGGGGTCTCGCTATGTTACTCCGGCTGGTCTTGAACCCCTGGCCTGAATCCTCCCGCCTCGGCCTCCCAAAGTGCTGGGATTACAGGCGTGAGCCACGGTGCTCGGCTTCTCACCCTTTTTAAGGTTTTGCATACCCAGCGGTGCCCCGCCCACCCCCTGTTTATCTCTCACTTTTTCCCGCTTCTGATTCTTCTTGGCCGACGTCCGCGAAATTCTACATATTGAGGTTGTGGATGTGAATAAAGGCTTGAGGTGTGTTAGGTGAAATTGCTGCATATGAGATCTTATATACTGTTGCAGCCACATTGGGAGAAACGTTCAGTATACCAAACAACCGTTAGCTGAGAGTGGTGGTATCCCGTGATTGGTTGATTTTTTTTATTTTATTTATTTTTTGTTTAAACTGTAAGGAAACATTAGTTAAAAGAATTGTAGTAAGCATAAATATATTTGATTAATACAGAAGAGGCAAATGGTAAACAAGGTAGAAGAAAAAAGACCCCCCCACCCCCCCAAAAATAACAAAAAGTAACTGATTTATTTGGTATCCCGGAAGTTACATTATTGCTAGACCTAATAAATAGATGAAGAGAGAGAATGATGTAGGGAGAAAGGCCTTGAAATCACAACTGGGTAGAAAAAAATTTTTAATTACGTAATATTTGTCACATCAGCTGCCAAACATAAAGCTTATTGCTGTTTGTGGCGATGTGAAGACCAATAAAAAGCCTATTTAATGCTCACTTAAACTATCAGTGACTTAAAAAAAAATTCCCAGTGGCTGAAATTATGAAAAAAAAAAAATCGGTGCATCTCACCTGCAATTTCTGACACGTTTGTAGCAAATCCACTGAAGCCAAGAAATATCAGGAGTACAACAAATAACAAACGTTACATAGAAACTTTTTTGAAAACTGGCAGCAAAATTACTACTAATTTGTTTGATAACTAGGTGTCTGCTGAAATTCGTATAAACCATTTGCTCAAAAGTAGCCAGTCATGGTGCATGCCTGTAGTCCTAGCTACTCCAGAGGCTGAGGCTGAGGAATTTCTTCAGTCCAGGAGTTCGAGACTCAGTGAGTTGTGATCAAACCACTGTACTCCAACTTGGGGGACAGAGGGAGACCCTGTCTCAAAAAATAAATAAACCACCTTACCATAAGTAACAAAGTGGAGGAAACAGTTCCAGGCAATGTACAGTTGATCCTCATTCAGGGATTCCATATTTGCAGACTGGAACCTACTGTCTTAAAATTTTTTGGAACCCTAAAAAATACTCTCAGTATCTGCAGATACACAGAGTTGGAGAAAGTTTAACTTGCTTGACACCCACTTTCCCAGCTGAGGTTGAATGAGGCAACATTCTGCCTTACTATTTTAGCTTTTATACTGTAAACAACTGTCTTCTTTACAATGCATTAGTGCCTTTTTTTTTTTTTTTTTTTTTTTTTTGAGATAAGAGTCTCACTTTCACCCAGGCTGGAAGGCAGTGGCAGGATCATGGCTCACTGCAACCTCCTCCTCCCGGGTTCAAGCGATTCTCCTGCCTCAGCCTCCCAAGCAGCTGGGATTGTAGGCGTGTGCCACCATGTCTGGCTAATTTTTGTATTTTTAGTTAGAGATGGGGTTTCACCATGTTGGCCAGCGTGGTCTCGAACTCTTGACCCCAAGTGATCTGCCTGCCTCAGCCTCCCAAAGTGCTGGGATTACAGGCCTGTGAGCCACCACACCCAGCCTGTTTGCGCATTTTTATTGGTGGTTTTGCTATGTTAAATTCCTCCCACAGGTATTGCTGAACTGCTGTCTAATATTCCTAAGCAAAAAATGGCTGTGCTGTGTTACAGAGAAAACACAGGTGCTATTTCATTCGAGTTTCTCCTTAGTGCTTTTGGCCGTGAGTTAGATGTTAATCAACAATATATATTAAATAAGGTATCTTTATACAGAAACACAACGTAAGACAATGTTATATATTGATTGATTGACAAAAATATCGTGGCCAGAGGCTTGCAGGAATTATCTTTACCCTAGGAGCAGGTCAGTGTTCACAGAGACTTTATTGAACATAGCTACCGCAAATATTGAGAGTTGTCAGAATCATCTGTGCTTGTTAAGGAACGTGTCTAAGTGTTACACCCATTCATTATCTAGCTTAGGTAAAACCTTCTCTGTATATATGCCCTCAACTCCTTCTTACCTGCTTAAACAACATCCCTGGTTAATTCACTGTATGCCTGCTGCACAGCAATTGAACTTGGCTGAAGAAAAATACAGTCCTGCTAATTCTGAAGTGAGTACCACAGTCCCCCACCCCCTGGGGCTGTATTTCCCTAATCCGTTTAACCTGCCCTCTTAAACAACTGTTTTACATCTTCTAAATACCTCCTCATTTGTAGGTCATTAACTTGCTTGTTACCTCTCAAAAAAATACCGTAGAAGAAATCAGAAAGTAGTAACTACTCCCACCATTGCACCTACCAGCCTATCTACATCTGAATATAGCGCAACACTCCGGTAACTGGATAAACTGTCGAGGTTCCTAAAACCAAACTTGCCATTTTTGCATTTAGTTGCATTTTACTCTTAGAATTGTCAGCGTTCCTTATGATTTTCCCCCTATAGCTGGATCACTTCCATCAACTTTTAAACGTGCTGTATAAGCCACCTTCTTAAAACAAACTATTTTGATCTGAATCTCCCTTCAAATACCATTCCATTGCTCTCTGATCTGCTGTCCTTTACAGAAATACTTTGTCTCCACTTCTACTCTCTCTTGAACCCACAACAGTCAGACTTTATTCCCACACTCCTGAACTTGCTCAAGATGATCTGTAGCTTCCAAGTTCTCAAGGCTGATTTTTATTTCTCGGTCTTCATCTCATTTGTCAGCAGCATTTGACACAGCTGATGACTTTCCTAAAGTTCTGTAAGGTCTTTGAGGCTGACCGCGCCGTGGATGTCATGTTAACTTCTGTGACCTGCACCGACACTCCAAATGAGTTCCTGGAAAATCTGAAATAACTGGAAGGCCTACTTAATGTTGAGACATCCTCTTTCGTTCCTTATTCTCGCCCCAATTGATAAGGCCATTGGATTTTGTAACCGACCTTGGTCAATCTCTTGACTCCACATCCTACGACCCCCTCCCAGCTTGCAAAAAACCTCCGTAAACTATAACTTCTGTGATTATCCACTGCCCACCGCACACCTTTAAAACCAGCTCCTATCCCACCATCCTTCGCCGCTCTTTTCGGACCCAGCTTACCTGCACCTGGGTGAATAAACAGCCATGTTGCTCACACAAAGCTTGTTGGGGGGAGGGGGGACGGGAAGGAGGGGAGGGTCTCTTCATTCAGAGCACACATTTTAACAAGTTCCTTATCTTACCTACCAGGATTTCACTTTCTTTCTTGCTTCTCATCTTTTCTAAATGGTTATTCCTTAGACTCCTTGCTGGTTTCTCCTTCTTTTCCAGCCTCTAAATGCTGGAATGCCCCAAGATTCAAATCTCACAACCTGAACTCCTCTGTTCTCTCTCCCTAGGCAATCTCATTCAGATCTCTAGCTGGATGAAACCCTCATGTGACGCTCTAGCCCACACCGTTCCTCTGAACGCAAGACACACTTCACTGCCTACTTTATAGCACTGCCTGAATTTCTAACAGGGATCACAAACTTACTGAATTCAAAAATAAACTCTTAATCTCTGCCCCTCTCCCCAAACAAGTCCTGCTGAGATCTTCTCAATCTCATGAAATGGCAACTTCATTCTTCCAGTGGACGCTAAAAACTCTGCATGATGGCACTCTACCACCATGTTGCTGCCTTAACCCTGATCCATTTGCCATATATTTTGTTCATGGATTGTTTCCCACTAGAATGAAAGCTTCATGTGATAATATCATGTTTGTTGAATGAAAAGATATTTGCCTACAGAAATATATACAATGAAAATAGCAAAATTGAATTCTCAAGAGGAAAAGGCATATAGGTTCCATTTCTGTTTGATTTCTGAAAGAATAAAAGAATTATAAATCTAGTCCTGTTCTCACAAACAAGATGGAGGAAAAAGCTAGCTTATTCCTAATACAGGCAAAATACTCTAATAGATAATATTCAAAAATGTACATGAATTTGCATGTATAGCAAATCTTAAACCAGATTATTTTCATTGCCATCTAATGAGAAATATCAAGTTTGTAAATGAGTAAAAAACCATATTTCAACCTGTAGACTGAACACGTACCAACCAATAGAAGGGGAAAACTATCAACTCATAGGCTATATATAGGTGACCAAGATTTTAATGTGATTCTATTCAAAGAATTTTCAAAAAATGAAATCCTCAAGCTTCCAGTTGTGACGTACCAACCAATAGAAGGGGAAAACTATCAACTCATAGGCTATATATAGGTGACCAAGATTTTAATGTGATTCTATTGAAAGAATTTTCAAAAAATGAAATCCTCAAGCTTCTAGTTGTGAAAGGGACTTTAAAAGCGTTGCTGCAATTTCTAAAGCATCATAAAATAAGGATGTATTCCCTAAAATGTTCATATACTTCATTTGTGTCTCTTTTTTTTCTCTGCCCTTGCCTTCCTCACAAACTCAGGGTAATATAGTGATTAAAACATGGGTTTTAGAAACAGTATGACATTATGTAGAGTTTCGGCTATGGTATTAACTGACTAGTAACGTGACCTTGGGAAAATTACTAGTCTTAAGGATTATGCTGCTTTGTCTCTAAACTTGGTTTAATAGGGTATAGTACTGTTTGTAAAAGTAATCTAAATTACATAACTAATTTAGCAGTACCTGGCACATACATACTTCACTACTGGTGGTCATTCATTTTTTAAAAAATATTGTTGAATTTCTGTGTATCACGTCTTAGGAATGTAGCATTAAGCAAAGTCACTTGGATTCTGCTCTTATGGAGTTTATATTTTAATGAAGTGTAATACATAACTAAAAGGAGATACTTTGGGGTCACAAATTTGTCACATGAAGCTTTCATTCAGTTATGAGGGAAAATAACTACAACAAAAATTACTATCTACGAAAGGGGATTAAAAACTTCCAGGACATCACCATCTCAACATATGGTATAACCTTGTAGGCAGGGATGATGTAAATAATGCAATCAGCAGATCCTGGGAGAATTACTTACTGACTCAAGACTGGCCATTTTTGGAAGTTCTTCCAGGTAATATATACTAAAGTTCAGCTAATGTTGAGAAGCGTACCCTAAACCCTTCACCTGTGTCTGGCAAAATTTCGTCCTGAATTAACCCAGTCATTCATTTTCTCAGTACCTCTGAGCAGTTAAACATGGCTGAAAATTATAAAATAATGGAATAGACTGATTCCACTTGAGCCTCATCATCACCGAAATCAAATGACATAGTAATTTAGAAAGTAATAAGTGCTACAAAGTGGGGTAAGATAAAGCATTGGATGGAGGAATAGTGTTTTCAAGTAGAGCAGTTATTGAGCAGGTGGCATTTGAGCTAAGATTTAAAGGTGATGAGGTAGCAAGCTATACTGGTGCCTGGAAAGGAATGTTTCTGGCCAAGGGAACAGCAAGAGCAAAGGTCCTGAGGCAAGACTGTGCCTAATGTGTTCAAAATAATAAGGAAAGCTCTGTGGTTGAAGGGCAGTGACTGAGAGGGAAAATATTAGGAAATGAGGTGGGCTTAAAGGAGCGGGTGGAGGAACAGATTGTCAAGGATCTTATGGGCTGTTATAAGAAGGTTGGCTTTTATTCTAAGTTAATTTGAAGCCACTGAAGAGTTGTGAGCAGAAAACGACATGGCCACTGTGTTGAGAATAGTCTATATTGCAAGGGAAGAAGCAGGGAAGCTAGTTAGGATGCTATTGTATTGCCTAAGTGCCTAAAGTTACTGTTTCACAGCAGAAATTGAGCTGCTTGTCTAAGGTCATTTTCTTTACCTGTGCTTTCTTTCCACCCTCCCCCCATTCAATTCACCTTATATTATCAATTATTCCTTCTTTTGTATATTCAGGCTCTCTTTCATCTGGATTATTTACACTGGTCTTTAAACATATCTAAATCCTACCACTAAAATACCCTTTCTTGACCCTATACTCCTTTTTTTTTTTTTTTTTTTTTGAGACGGAGTTTCGCTCTTGTTACCCAGGCTGGAGTGCAATGGCGTGATCTCAGCTCACCGCAACCTCCGCCTCCTGGGCTCAGGCAATTCTCCTGCCTCAGCCTCCTGAGTAGCTGGGATTACAGGCACGCGCCACCATGCCCAGCTAATTTTTTGCACTTTTAGTAGAGACGGGGTTTCACCATGTTGACCAGGATGGTCTCGATCTCTTGACCTCGTGATCCACCCGCCTCGGCCTCCCAAAGTGCTGGGATTACAGGCGTGAGCCACCGCGCCCGGCCTACCCTATACTCTTAACTGCTCACTTCAGCCAAATATCTGGTAAGTCTTATCTGTATTACCTCACCTTTTCATTCTTTACTCTCCTATTTACATTTTAGGTCACTGTAGTCTGAAATCTGCCCCCATAATATTACCAAAATAGATTTCCCCAAGGCAGTGGTTCTTCAAGAAGCAGTGGTGAGTCTCCAGGGAGCATTTGGAAATGTGTGGTAGCATTTTTTTATTATCATTTGTATGTTTTCAGCATAACTTAAGGGTGAAGGGTACTACTGATATTTATTTACCAGAGGCCAAAGATGCTAAACATGTAGCAATGCACAGAATAGTCCTTTATATTTAAGACTCGTCCTGCTCAAAATATCAATGGTGTCTCATTTAGAAATAGTGCTAAGGTCACAAACAACTTCTTTGTACCTGTGTTTAATAAACATTTTACTTGATCTCAGAATATTTGTTCCATCTTCCTACTTGATCTCAGAATATATGACATTGATAGCTACTCTCTTTGCATTGGCCTTCTCTCTCTCTTGGCCTCTGTGGCACAACATATTTTGTATTTTTTTCTTCCTTCTCTGACTGCTCCTCTCATTCCTTTTCACAGACTCATTCTCATCTGCTCCACTACCAAATGTTGAAGTTCTTCAAGAATCAGTCCTTTGGAGGTGATGTTATTGAAAATGGTGAGTAGGAAACTCCAAGAGCCCATTTCTCCACAAAGCCAGTGAATAAATTGGTAAAAATTGTCAGAATCCGTTTTTTTTGTTGTTGTTTTGTTTTGTTTTTTTCTTTGTTTTGTTTTTGAGATGGAGTCTCACTCTGTTGCCCTGGCTGGTGTTCAGTGGCGCATCTCGGCTCACCACAACCTCTGCCTCCCAGGTTCAAGAGATTCCCCTGCCTCAGTCTCCAGAGTAGCTGAGACTACAGGCATGTACCACCATGCCTGGCTAATGTTTGTATTTTTAGTAGAAACAGGGTTTCACTATGTTGGCCAGGCTGGTCACAAACTCCTGACCTCACTACCCATCCGCCTCAGCCTCCCAAAGTTCTGGGATTACAGGCATGAGCCACCACACCTGGCCCAGAATCAATTTTATATGAATTCTGGAATCTAGTCGAACATTTATAGTAACCAAGGAAACATCTTTTTAAAAAGATGGCTGAGGCCGGATGTGGTGGCTCATGCCTAGCACTTTGGGAGGCCAAGGCAGGCAGACATCATTTGAAGTCAGGAGTTTGAAACCATCAAAAAAAAAAAAAAAAATTTAGCTGGGTGTGGTTGTGGGCACCTGTAATCCCAGCTACTTTGGAGGCTGAGGCAGGAGAACCTGGTAGGTGGAGGTTGCCAACCGAGATTGTGCGACTGCACTCCAGCCTGGGTGACTTAGCAAGACTCTGTCTCAAAAAAAAAAAAAAAAAAAAAAAAAAAAGATGGCTCAATCCCCGGTAGAGCTTCGTATCACTTCAGCTTACCCTGGTGCCAGTCTTGAAAAAGAACAAAGTTAAAAGACTCACATTTTGTGATTTCAAAATTTACCACAAAACTACAGTAATCAAAAGAGTGTGGTACTGACATAAAGATAGATCTATAGGTCAATAAAATAGAATTGAGAGCCCAGAAGTAAACCTATACATCTGTGTCATTTTTGACAAAGGTGTTAAGATAGATCACTGGGGAATGGTAGCATTTTTAACAAATGCTGAGGATACTGGGTATCCACATGTAATAGAATGGATTAGGACCCTTACCTTACACCACATGCAAACATTAAGTCAAAATAAATCAAAGACCTAAATATAAGCATGAAACTATGCAACTATTAGAAGACAATATTGGAGTAAGTCTACATGGCCTGGGATTTGGCAGTGGATTCTTAGTTATGATACCAAGAGCACAAGTAGCAACAGGAAAAATAAATAAAATTGGCCTTAATCAAAATTTAAAACTTTATACATCAAATGACACTATCAAGAAAGAGAAAAGAAAACCCACCGAGTAAGAGAAAATATTTGCAAGTCATGTATCTGGTAAAGTTGAAATAACTCTTTCAAGTCATCAGCTGAAAGACAACCCAAGTTAAAAATGGGCAAAGGACGTGAATAGACATTTCTGCAAGAAAGATAGTATAATGGCCATAGTACAGGAAGAGATGCTTCACATCATAACCTTCCACCTTAAGGGAAATGCAAATCAAAACCACGAAGAGGTACCACTTTCTGTACTCACTCGGTTGCTATTGTTAAAAGACAATTATTGGCAAATATTGGAAATTGGAAAGCTCAAATTGCTGGTGGGAATATAAAACAGTGCAGTCACTGTAAAACAGTTTGGCAGTTCCTCAAATTTTTAAACGGAATTGACATATAACCCAGCAGTTCTAAATATATACTCAAGATAATAGAAAACAAATATTCAAAGAAAAACCTCTACATGAATGTATACAGCAGCACTGTAATAGCCAATAAGTAGAAGCAACCCAAACGTTTGTCATTAGATGAATGGACAAATTGTGGTATATTCATACAGTGAAATACTCTGCCATAAAGAGAAATTATGTACTAGTATATGTTGCAACATGGATCAACCTTGAAAACATGCTAACTGAAAGAGAAGGCCACATGTGTGATTCTATTTATATGAAACATCCAGAAGAGGCACATCCATAGAGACAGAAAACAGTGGTAGATGCTAGAAATAGGGAGTTGCTGCTTAATGAGTTTCTTTTTTGAGTGATGAAAATATTCAGATTTAGATAGTGGTGATGCAAACATTGTGAATATACTGGAAGGCACTCAATTATTGTACACTAAAATGGTTAAAATGGTGAGTTTTATATAATATAAATTTTACCTCAATAATAATTTTTTAAAAGTAGTCTCTTTCTTAGTCCATTTTGTGCTGCTCTAACAGAATACTCAAAACTTTATAAAGAACAAATGTTGGCCAGGTGCAGTGGCTCACATCTGTAATCCCAGCACTTTGGGAGGCAAAGGTGGGTGGATTGCAAGGTCAGGAATTCAACAGCCTGGCCAACATGGTGAAACCGTGTCTCTATTAAAAATACAAAAATGAGCTGGGCATGGTGGTGCATGCTGATAATCCCAGCTACTTGGGAGGCTGAAGCAGGAGAATAGCTTGACCCTGGGAGGCAGAAGTTGCAGTGAGCTGAGATCACTCCATTGCACTCCAGCCTGGGTGACAGAGTGAGGCTTTGTTTTTTCTTTCTTTCTTTTTTTTTTTTTTTTCTTTGCTAACTAGAATAACCAGTTTAGAGATTCTTTCTCAAAAAAAAAAAAAAGAAAGAAAGAAGGAAAGGAAAGGAGAAAGGAAAGGAGGAAAGGAAAGGAAAGAAGAACGAAAGAAAAGAAAGAAACTGGCCCACAGTTCTGGTGGCTGAGAAGTCCTAGATGAAGCTGTCACATCTGGTGAGGGTCTTCTTACTGCCTCATAACATGGTGGAAGGTATCACATGATGAGGGAGCAAGAAAAGGTGCTTTTGTTACAAGATCATTCCATTATAATGAACCCACTCCCATGATAACAATCTATTCATGAGGGTACCCTCATGACCCCTTCATCTCTAATTAGTCCATACCTCCCAACACTGTAGCGTTGAGGATTAATTTTCCAACACAAGAACTTTGGTGGACACAGTCCATAGCAGTCTCACTCTTTGCTAATTTTTTTCCATGAATTCTTCCACTCCTGTGGCTTTTATGTGCATTTACCATTTATCCACAGATGCCTCACTAGAGGCAGTTTGTATCTTCAACTCACATATTTTTTCTGAGTTCCAGATGTGAATATCTTACTGTTTGCTTACCTACCACCTCCACACATACACTTCAAATGCAACGTTGAAATATAAAACTGAGTTCATTACCTTTTCTCCTAAATTTGATTATCTTTGAATGTTTTCTGTCTCACTGAAGATAGCTTCCAGTCATTTAAAGTTTACTGTATGTTAGGACTAAAGTAAGTGCTAATCCATTAATTCACTTAATCCTCACAAGAACCTCAGATAGTACTATTTTATATTTGCAGTGAGAAAGTTGAAAGGTAAAATAACATATTGAAATCATACATCTTTTAAGTAAGGCTAATCTTCAGCAAAGGCAGCCTGACTTCTCAGAGCCTGTATTCTTTTTTTTTTTTTTTTTTTTTTTTTTTGGAGACGGAGTTTCGCTCTTGTTACCCAGGCTGGAGTGCAATGGCGTGATCTCGGCTCACCGCAACCTCCGCCTCCTGGGTTCAAGCAATTCTCCTGCCTCAGCCTCCTGAGTAGCTGGGATTACAGGCACACACCACCATGCCCAGCTAATTTTTTGTATTTTTAGTAGAGACAGGGTTTCACCTTGTTGACCAGGATGGTCTCGATCTCTCGACCTCGTGATCCACCCGCCTCGGCCTCCCAGAGCCTGTATTCTTAATGCCATTGCTATACCATCCTCTTACCTTTTCTAGAGACCTGGACATCATCTTTGTCACTTCTCTCCTTTACATCCTTTATCCAATTGATCATGACGTCCTATTAATTTGACTTCCTAAATAACTCTCACTCTATCCAATTCATTTCATCTGCTACCACCAGCCATATTGATGAAGCCACCATCTTTTGTCTGTACAATGACCTCTTAACTAAGCTCCCATGTTCACTGAGAACCTAATAAAAATTTTTATAAATATAAATTTGTATCTTACAGGTAGGAAATTTATATTCTTCTCTTATTGTGCCCAAGGAACATTTCCAAATATTAATCATAAGATTGACCACCTAGAAAATCATAGTGAATTTCAAAAAGTAGAAATCTTAGGGGCTACTTTTCAGGTAATGCAATAAAATCTAAAGTCAAAAAAGGTTATTTTTATTTCTTGATGATTTTACCTGCTGGTTTACTATCAGTCTCTCCAACACTCCTGCCTCAATTCCTGATTATTTTAATAGGCACAACAATGAACTTTTCAATACCTTGACCTCCAGCTTCTTGGACACCTCTTTCACTCTACTTAAGCCACTCCTTTGGTCTTTCCTTAGTTACTGCTTATTACCATTAACTGCAAACTTTGAATTATCTCAGCTTCATGCATCCACTTTTCTGGCTGTCACATCCTGTCTTTCCAGCTTTCCCCTCTAGATCCCTAGCTCCTAATAATTCTCTAACTTCACTGGTAATTCTAATATAGTGATTCTATTACTGTTTCACTGTCCCTCGCCCAATTTTCTTCCTCACTTGGCTTAAATTCTATAGCCAGTCATTGATTGGATATTCCTATTACCCACTGGCAAAACCATAACTCTAATCATTACTCATCTACTCCATTCTTGCTCCCCTGTAGCTGAATATGACTGGAAGAAAAATGCAGGGGTTTCACTTCAAATTCATGAAGACAGACCTCATATGACCTCAAAATGCTACCAGTCAATCAAATTATATTTTCTCCAAGTTTATTCACTTGTAGTCAGTTTGGACTGCTACAACAAATTTCATAAACTAGGTAGCTTATAAACAATAGACTTTTCTTTCTTATGGTTCTGGAGGCTGGGAAATTCATGATCAAGTCACCAGCAGAATTAGTGTCTGGTGAAACCCAGCTTTCTGGTTCATTGATGGTGACTTTTCACTATGAGAAAGTAAAAGAAAGACCCCTATGGTGGAAAGAAAGAGGGGTCTTTCTCGAGTCTCTTTATAAGGACATTAATCTCAATAATGAGGACTGCCCCCGCCATGATCTAATTACCCTCCAAAGGGGATGAGGCCTTCTAATACCATCACCTTGGGGGGTAGGATTTCAACATACTAATTTTGAAGGGACACAAACATTCGGACCATAGGACTCCCTTTTCCTGAGATGATTTTATATAATTCTCCTCTCTTTTTCAAATATCCAACACTTTCTACTCCCAGTCTTACTCTCAATGATAACTCTTGTTCCTATTTTCTGGAGAAAATCAGACCAATCAGAAGAGATTTCCCGCCACTAAATCTATCTTTCTGGCAGCTTCTGAACTCATATAATGTTCTTTCCAGACTATTACTATACGTATATGTATATGTATATGTATATGTATATACATATGATGTCCATGCTCTCGTCTCAAGTCAGCCTCTGCTTCTGTACTAGATCAGGGTTGTCAGAATGCAGCCTGTGGGCCAAATCTTGCTCTTTTTTTTTTGTACAGCCCATAAGCCAAGAATAGATTTCACATTTTTAAGTGCTGGGAAGAAAAAAGTATATACAACAGAGACCATGTGTAATCCACAAAACCTAAAATACTTACTCTCTGGCGCTTTCCAGAAAAATTTTACTGATTCCTGTACTAGATTACATTCCCTCACACCTACTTGACAGCAACACAGCAATTCTTCCTTCTCTCTTCTACATTAACCAGTTTTTGCCTACATTCAAGATTATTTCCACCAGCATTCCAGCATTCTGTTATTTCTCCCATCTTTAAACAGACCGAAAAAAATCTCGACGCTGCTTTTCTTGCCAGTTACGGTCCTGTTTCTTTGATCCCCTTCAAAATACAGCACCTTGATTTTTATTTTATTTTATTTCTTTGAGACAGAGTCTTGCTGTGTTGCCCAGGCTGGAGTGCAGTGGTGTAATCTTGGCTCACTGCAACCTCCACCTCCCAGGTTCAAGAGGTTCTCCTGTCTCAGCCTGACCAGTAGCTGGGATTACAGGCATGCACCAACATGCCCAGCTAATGTTTGTATTTTTAGTAGAGACAGCATTTCACCGTGTTAGTCAGGCTGGTCTTGATTTCCTGACCTCGGGTGATCTGTCCCCTCAGCCTCCCAAAGTGCTGGGATTATAGGTGTGAGCCACCATGCCCGGCTAGCACCATGAAATAATAGACTATACTTGCTGTTTTGGATTTCTCCTTTCTAATTCTCACTTGAACCTACTCCAATCAGGTTTTCTCCTCTATCACAAAGACCACTGTCCTTATCAGGGTTACTAATGGTTTCCGTATTCTAATTCCAGTGGTCAGTCTTCAATCCTAATTTATTTGACCTATCAGCAAAATTTGACAAGTGTATCACCACCTCCTCCTTACTTGATTGTGGGAAAACCACACTGCGTTTTCTTCCTACATTGCTGATGTCTCCTTTATTGGTCTCATCCCTCTCCCAGGTCTGTTCACACTGGAGCGCCCCAGGGCTCAGCCTGTCTTTCTCCATCTACACAGCTTGAGGGATCTTACCCAGTTTCATGGCTTTCAAAACCACCTATTTGCTGACAATTCCCAAATGCATATGTAGCCTTGACTTCTCTCCTAAAAGCCTTATGTCTTTATCTGACAACCTATCCAACAGCTAAATGTCAAATAAACATCTCAAAACCAAAACATCTAAAATCAAATTTCTGATCTTCAGTCCTAAACCTCTTCCGTAGTCATCCTCATTTTATGAATGTTAACTCATCTTTTTAATACCACACATTCATTGTATCAAGAAATCCTGCTGGCTGTATTTTTTAAATGGAACTAGAGCCTGACCTCTTCTCAGTTCCTCTACTGCCACCACCTTGATCCAAGCTGCTACTGTCTCTCACCTGGGCTACTGCTCACACCTCCTGCTTCTATCCTTTTTCCCTGTAATCTATGCTTAAATAGCAGCCAGTCATGATTTTGAAATGTAGATTATGTTGTGTCCCTCATCTGCTCAGGATTCTTCAGTGGCCTCGAATTTCACTCAGTGAAACACAAAGTCATAACAATTGCCTAAATGCGCTACATAAACTGATCCCTGTTACCTCTGGGACCTCATATCCAACTCTCCACCCTTGCTATTCTGGGCACGTACTAATTTAGGGCTTCTGCACAAGCTGTTTACTTTGTATTCTTCTGCTGCGTTATTCACTTGGCTAACTACCTCCCCTCCCTTAAGTCCTTCCTTCAATTCCACCTGCTCAGTGGAGGCTACCTCGATCACATTCTTTGAAACTGCAGCCCCTCCATCTGCACATGTGATTCTCCTTCCTCTTTTTCATTTTTGTGTTACATAAAACACTTATCACCTTCTTGCATGCTATATAATTTATGTATTATGTTCATTGTCTAGCTCCTGCCCCCAATGGAGGCTTTACCCAATGAGGGTAAAACTCGAATCTCTTTCGCTCTTTGATATGTTCCAAGCACGTGGCTCATAGTTAATACATCATAAATATTTGTAGAATAAATAAAAATGAATTTGAAGACTTACCAATTCTTTAAAAACACTGCAAAATAATTACTGGATTATAGCAGAAGTTAAAGTTGAGATTACAAATTGTATACAAATTGAAAAACTAGAATACTTCATATGAATATGTACCGAAAGTGAATCAAACCTAAGCCCAGAGAAAAATTCATAGATTAAAGGAATATAATGCCTAAAAAAAAATTCTTATTGTGATCAGAGCTCTTATAATGACCTTTCTACCATCACTTCCTGCATCAATCTCCTAGCAAAGCTACTGGGCTTTCTCTCCCGAAGTTATTACATCATATCAATGGTTCTCAATGTGTAGTTGCTGGACTAACTGTATTAGCTTCACCTGAGAACTTGTTAGAAATGCAAATTCTATTTTAATAAATCCTCCAACTGGTTTTCATACACGAGATTGTTTGAGAATATTGCATTAGACTCGGGAAGCTTATTTCTTACTGACACTTTCTTTCCTCACATAGAGGAATAGAGTCTGCTGTTGATTCAAACGCTGTCTCGCTTAGGGACACAAATGTAATTGGTCAGACTGGGTTAGTATAATAGATAATTGGCTCCCCCATGTTAGCCAATATAAAATCATCTTTAATTCTGGATGCATTTTGTTCTCCATGTATACCTTGAGTATCATTTCCTTAACTTCTATTTTTAAGATAAAGCAAAACAAAATTATTGTGTTGACGTCATAATAATTGGCTTATATAAGCCTTACAGGTTTTATTTTGAGGTTGATTATCACAAACAGTTTTTTTAGAATATCCTGTTTAATATCTACGAATATGTTTTAAAAGAAATGTCAAGGCCAGGCGTGGTGGCTCACGCCTTTAATCCCTTCTCTTTGGGAGGCCGAGGCAGGTGAATCATGAGGTCAGGAGTTTGAGACCAGCCTGGCCTATATGGTGAAACCCTGTTTCTACTAAAAATACAGAAAATTAGCTGGGCTTCATGGCATATGTCTGTAGTCCCAGCTGCTCAGGAAGCTGAGGCAGGAGAATTGCTTGCACTCGCAGGTGGAGGTTGCAGTGAGCTGAGATCGCACCACTGCACTCCAGCCTGGGTGACAGAGCAAGACTCTGTCTCAAAAAAAAAAAAAAAAAGGAAATGTCAAGACTTACATTGAAAACATCTTAAGAATTTACAGATGGACATAAAACAATTTGACATAGTCAAAAAAACATTGAATTTTCTGGTTAGAATAACTTAATAGTGTAAAGATACATCTTTACACTATTAGTATATGCATGTAATACAATAATTTCAATCATCATCATCATAACTTTGGGGAAATAAGGCTAGTATTTGATAAGTTGATTCTAATATTTATCTTGAGGAATTCATGAAAAAATTCAAAATCATGAGGAAGAATGAGGGAATACTATACATTAAAATGTACTGTAAGTCTAGAGTCATTTACAAAGTATGTTATAGCTACTGGAAAAGAAAAATACTCTATGAATCAAAATACTTCAAAAACACATCCATACAGCTATTAGAAATCAGTGAATTATAAAGGAGGCATTTTAAATCAGTAGCAAATTGATGGAATATTTAAGAAATGATGTTGCAATATGTGTCTACCCATTCTGAAGAAAAAGTTAAATCTCTTCTTTACATTGTACTTCCAAATAAGTTCTTAATGTATTAAATATCAAAATGTCAAAAAATAAAGGGCAAGTGCAGTGGCCCACGCCTGTAATCCCAGCATTTTGGGAGGCCAAGGTGGGTGAGTCATGAGGTCAGGAGTTCGAGACCAACCTGGCCAACATGGTGAAACCCCATCTCCACTAAAAATATAAAGCTTAGCCAGGCATGGTGGTGCATGCCTGTAGAACCAGCTACATGGGAGGCTGAGGTAGAAGAATGGCCTGAACCCAGGAGGCAGGGGTTGCAGTGCGTCGATATTGCGCCACTGCACTCTATCCTGGGTGGAAGACAGAGTGAGACTCCGTCTCAAAAGAAAAACATAAATAAATGAAAAATAAAAAAATAAATTATGAAAGTACTGAAATAATATATAGGAGAATTGTTTTGATCTAGGTATCAACAGAACATGAAACCCGGAAGTCAGAGAGAAAAACACTAACAGATTTGACACAAACAAATTCATAACTTCTTTGTGATGAAAAATAAAGTTAAAAGGTAAGTTATGGATTTGGTGAAAATAATTATAATACATAAAAGAATCAAGCAGTTAATACGTATGCTATACAAAGAACTCCCAAAATTAGTAAAAATAACAACTCAACAAAAAGTAGATTATATTAATGTATAGATGAGTTACAGGAAAAGGAAATACAGATGGCCAATAATAAATGTTTAATCTCATATATCAACTAAGAAATAGAAATAACATTGAACTTTCAGTATAAGGCTAGACTGAGCACCTGTATGCACCTCTCTTTCAAGGTCTTTATTTTTTTTAATTTCATCGTTACATACCCTGTATCACCTCATTATTATCGTCACTCTACAAATACGTAAAACTAGGAAGTTAAATCATTTGGCCAAAGTCAAACAGATAATAAAAGCGGCAGAGCTGGGGTGTGCACTCAGCAGTGGACTCTAGAATCTACCCTCTAACCCACCATACTATGCTACCTCTAAACGAATTAAAGCAGATCTGGGAGTGGCCAAGAAACTGTCAGAAGATCTATGAAGTTAAAACTTTTCATAATAATAGCAAAACATAATTTGGCTTTTTTACTCTTTCATGAGTGTACAGTGTCATTTTCCAAAGGCTTTATGACATGTAATGTTGCAAAAGATTCAATGCAGAAGCAGATACGAGAATTCAGCTGATATCCATTAAGTCTTATATTAAAGGGTTTATAAAAATGTAAACAGCCACTTGTGTTTGGAAATATGTAACTATTTTTCATAAAAAATATTTATAACGTAATTATTTTAAATGAATTTAGAAATAGTTTTAAATTTTCTCACTTTTAATTTCTAATTGGTAAATATCAATAGATAAAATCCACATAAACAAAAGCTCTTTGTATTCCTCAATAATTTTTAAGGATGCAAAGGGATCCTGAGGCCACAGAGTTTGACAACTACTGAGTTAAAGAATTACCTCCGGGCAACTGACAGCTGAGTCAGTTAGGCCTGTATCCCCCTTCACTCACATATACAGAGGGAACCCTCTTAGAATCTGTGGTTTTGCCCCAGGAATAAAATCGCAAGAGGTAGTCTGAGCAACAGCAAAGTATGGAATGAAAAATCGTTTGAGATTGTGCTATGTCACCATCAGCCCTTTTCTATTTGATGGGCACAAACTTCTGCACAGGTGCAAACTGTTGAATATCACCCGTGGTCAATAAATGGTCCCATGTGGCATGCTAGCAGATGCTCTCTGTTAGGGAAAGGATGTGCTTATCTAGTACCAACAGTAAGAAAAGTCCTAAATGACAAAGGAATAACTGATGTTTATCATGTTGTGCCTGAAAAGACACCTGATTCTTACTTTCCATTTACAATACTGCAGTGGCTCGTGCCTGTAATCCTAGCACTTTGGGAGGCCGAGGTGGGCAGATCACTTGAGGTCAGGAGTTTAAAACCACCCTGCCCAAAAATTGGCTGGGTGTGATGGTGGGTGCCTGCAATCCCAGCTACTCAGGAGGCTGAGGCAGGAGAATCGCTTGAACCCTGGAGGTAGAGGTTGCAGCGGAGGTTGCAGTGAGCTGAGATTGCGCCATTGCATTCCAGCCTGGGCAGCAAGAGCGAAACTCCCTCTAAGAAAGAAAGAAAAGGAAGAAAAAGAAAAGAAAAGAAAAAAGATTCCTTTTAAAATAAATGTAATGGCCAGGTGCAGTGGCTCATGCCTATAATCCCAGCACTTCGGGAGGCCGAGGCAAGTGGATCACTTGAGGTCAGGAGTTTGAGACCAGTCTAGCAAACACAGAGAAACCCCATCTCTATTAAAATTATAAAAATTAGCCAGGCATGGTATCGTGAGCCTGTAATCCCAGCTCCTCAGCAGGCTGAGGCAGGAGAATCATTTGGATTTGGGAGGTGGAGGTTACAGTGAGCTGAGATTATGCCATGACACTCCAGCCTGGATGACAGACCAAGACTCCGTCTCAAAAATAAAATAATAAAATAAAATTGATTTTAAAAATTGAGTTGATTTAAAATGCTAGGAAAATGTTGTATATGTAAAGATGGCAAAAATTGTTAAGTGAAGGAACATTGATGTAAAGCAAATAATTTGTCTGGGGTGAGTCTCTGATGTAGTAGTTGGGGGTCTGAGAAAAATGGGGCAGATGTGAGGTGACTCTAGACCTCCACGCTAAGGGAGGCAAGAAGCAAAGCGGAAGGGCAACTCTGCCTGAGGGTGAAAGATTGAAACTCTGCACCCTGGCATTCGTGAGAGGGTCTATCTCTACTTGTTCCTTCCCCAGGAAATCTGCTTACTGGTATGTTTAACTTACTTACACAAAGCTTGTGTTCACCCCTATATGTCTTCTGCTATTCAGTCTTCATTGCAGACTTAATTTTCCCTTAAAACACTATATGCTCATCTATCTGATAAGGAATTGCTATCCAGAATATATAAAAAACTCTCTATGGGGCCAGGCATGGTGGCTCACGCCTGTAATCCCAGCACTTTGGGAGGCCGAGGCAGGTGGATCATGAGGTCAAGAGATCGAGACCATCCTGGTCAACAAGGTGAAACCCCGTCTCTACTAAAAAAAAAAAAAAAAAAAAAAAAAATACAAAAATTAGCTGGGCATGGTGGTGCATGCCTGTAGTCCCAGCTACTCAGGAGGCTGAGGCAGGAGAATTGCTTGAACCCAGGAGGCGGAGGTTGTGGTAAGCCGAGACCACGCCATTGCACTCCAGCCTGGGTAACAAGAGCGAAACTCCGTCTCAAAAAAACAAAACAAACAAACAAAAAAACAGCTCTCTACAACTTAACAACAACAACACAAACTCAATTGAAAAATGAGCAAGGGACTTGAATAGACATTTTTCCAAAGAAGATATACAAATGGCCAATAAGCACATAAAAAGATGCTTAGTGTCACAAGTGAAATGTAAGTCAAAACCGCAATGAGATACCACCTCACACTCATTAGGATGGCCAGTATAAAACCAAAACAAAACAGAAAATAACAAGTGTTGGCGAGGATATAGAGAAACTGGAACACCTGTGCACTGCTGGTTGGAATATAAGATGGTGCAGCTCCTGTGAAAAACAGTTTGGCAGTTCCTCAAAAATTTAAAAATGTATTTACCGTATGATCCAGCATTTCCACTTCTGGGTATACACCCAAAAGAAAACAGTAACACTAACAAATGTTTGTACACCAATGTTCATAGCAGAGTTATTCACAAAAGCCAAAAGGTGGAAGCGAACCCAAGTGTCTGTTGATGGATAAATGGATAAACAAAATGTGGCATATTCATATACTGGAACATTATTCAGACTTGAAAGAGTAAGGAAATTTTGACACATGCTACAACATGGATGAAACTTGAAGTCATTATTGTAAGTGAAATAATGTAGTCATGAAAGGACAACTGTTGTATGATTCAATTTGTGGGAGGTGCCTAGAAGTAGTCAAATTCATAGAGACAGAAAGTAGAATGGTGGTTGCCAGGGGTGGAGGGAGGAGGGAGCAGGAAGTTCTTGTTTAATGTGTACAGAGTTTCTGTTTGATATAATTTTGAAAGTTCTAGAGATGGACGCTGGTTATGGTTGCACAACAATATGAATGTACTTACGGCATAGAACCATTAATTTAAAAAATGGTTTTAATGGTAAATTTTATGTTAAAATATTCAACCACAATTAAAAAAAACACTGTTAGGAACTATTATCCACATAACTTAAAATATTATCTGAATTGTAATATATATACTATATCTCATGTGAAACAGATAATGAGATATAAAGCACAGACAGCCCCAAGGTACTAAGCAATCCCTGCTCACAAATCACAACATTCAATGTAATTTGCATGGCATGATTGTCTGGTTTTTTTAATTTTGTTTTTGAGATGGAGTTTCACGCTTGTCACCCAGGCTGGAGTGCAATGGCACAATCTTGGCTCCCTGCAACCTCTGCCTCCCAAGTTCAAGCAGGCAGATCACCTGAGGACAGGAGTTCGAGACCAGCATGGAAAGTTCTGACCAACATGGAGAAACCCCGTCTCTACTAAAAATACAAAATTAGCTGGGCGTGGTGGTGCATGCTTGTAATCCCAGCTGCTTGGGATGCTGAGGCAGAAATTGCTTGAACTCGGGAGGCAGAAGTTGCATGGAGCTGAGATCGCACCATTGCACTCCAGCCTGGGCAACAAGAGCAAAACTCCGTCTCAAAAAATAATAATAAAAGAAAAGAACATTGCATTTAGGCTTTTCTTTTGCAACCCTGGTAATATTACAACACAGCAGACTGGAGCCAAAAGGGAAGCAAGCAGTGGGGCTCTGATGTGCCAAAAAGTTACCCCAAAACAGAAGCACCTCTTATCCAACTAATGAGTCATGCAACCCTGCTTGGCCAGGGAATTCCAGAGCTGCAGCAGCTGTCCAGGGCCTGCATATTCAGATACTTGGTTTATCCAGATCATTTTGCTGTGCAGACTTTCTTTTTGCGAAATAGTACATGTCTGCACAAAACCTTAAGACAATGGTGAACATTTTTTTAATAGGAAAGCTGATCCTTATTTTGAAACATTTTCATAATTTTGTCTTATTTTTTTTACCAAGATGCTACAATCACTCTTTCCTTGTGAGTAAATGGTTGACTATTTTTTTATTTGAGACAGAGTCTCACTCTGTCACCCAGGCTGCAGTGCAGTGGCACAGTCTCGGCTCACTGCAACCTCTGCCTTCCGGGTTCAAGCGATTCTCCTGCCTCAGCCTCCCCAGTAGCTGGGATTGCAGGTGCACACCATCACACCCGGTTAATATTTGTATTATTAGTAGAGACGGGGTTTCACCATGTTGGCCAGGCTGTGGTTGTTATTTAATATATAATATTAGGAACTCCATAAACTAGCAACATTTCTCCAAGAAAGAAATAGTTTAGAAATGGGGACACATGCCATGGGAAGGTATGCAATAAAGAATATTAAAAAATAATAATAAAATAAATAAATGGGGGCACGGCTGGGTGCCGTGACTCACGC